TAAGATACTCAAGGGCTCACATCTCAGCCTACCCACTTTTTTCAGGGAGCCTAACATAAAATGGTATGGAACTGCTACAGTCATGGGGCCAGGCCAGTGCAGAAAGGTATTGCAAAGGGGCCAGCTACCGTGGCACCATGACAGTTTCCAGCTGCGTACTGTCCTGTTCTGCCAGGGGTCACAATGCTGCACCCCCACCTGCCTTCAGCGTGTGACATGGTGACTAGATGGCATGGTCTGTTCAGTCTCTCTCTGCCATCACACTAGCCCCTACAGTAGCTATGATTTGCCACCTAGTATCCCAGGCCATTAGGACCTGCAGAACACAGATGGCAGAATGGGGTGGAGGTGGGTCAGGGTTTTTGCCAATGTGACAGATGATCACCTGAGGCAGGAGATAGGGAGCTGTCCACGGAAAACCCTGGGATGCATCAGTAGCAACAGACAGCTGTCATTGACCAACAGCACGGCAGGGCAGGTTCCTCTGAACAGAGCAGCACTTCCGCTGAATAGCTGCTGAGGTGCAGGCTTGAATGTGGGCAGCCAGCAGGGTGGGAGCAGGGGTTCAGAGTACAGGTGTATGCTAGTGCTAACCATGACTTGGCTATGATCCTGGCATCAGATCTTTCCAGCAGTGATGGGCCACCACCCTGCCTGTCACCCCTGTGCTTATAAAAATCAGGCTCAGGTGGTCAGGCCACTTAGCATTCAAGCCTGGGTCCTACCAGGTCCTTTCTGAGCTGTTCCCCAGTCTGGTGGGGTGCCACCACCCCAGCTGTTCCTCCCCCTAGCAAGACCATATCACCAGGCACTGGCTTGTTGGGTTTGCCCCTACCCATTTTCCATCTGCCTGTAGAAACCATTACAGCGAGTTGCTCCCAGCTGTCAAAATGTGGGCTCCCCTCTCAAGGCAGGGTGATGGGAAGGTTATCTTTTAATATCAGGGCTATGAATGCTTCTCTCTGATGATCCATGGCCTGCTTCCTCCTGTTCCTTCCTGTTCCCAGAGAAAGGTCTTGGGATGGGCAGGGAGAGGTAGGCACAGGATGATGACACACATGGCCTACCCTGTGCTGGGTGGCTTTTTAATCTTCATAGGCTAAAGGTCATGTGATGATATCCCCATTTTATAGATTAAGACAGAGGCTCAGAGAAGTGAAGTGACCTCCCAAAGCCACACAACACACAGCAACAGCTAAGCCTGGGGATGGAACTAGGTCGGAGTCCAGGAACATCATGCTCTTTGCAGCTTCCCAACACATCTCAAATGCTCTAGATGCTCCTCCAGCAGGTAGAGGGATGTGCCTGGGTTCTGCTCCATGCAGCCCTGTTCTGCCCCATGCCTGTATGGAAGGCAGGCCCACCTGTGGCCCCTGAACTTGGTAGTTGCACCCTGTCCCTCCCCCATGGTTTCCCAGCATTGGCCTCTCTTCAGGCTGTCAGCTGCTCTACTTCCTCCTTGGCAGGCTAGGGATGGTGAGACAGTCATCAAGCCCTCCAACAGCCTGCAGATCAACAGCCTGGACCAGCCTGGCATCAGCTCTCACCTCCTGGGTGGCCAGAGCCTTCATTTGGGACTCCTTCATTCTCCTAGTGCTCTGGCTCTTGTTCCCAGCATGCTCATGGCTAAGTGCTCTGGCTGTGGAGCCAGGCAGATCTGAGCCTGCCACTTAACAGCTGTGACATCTTGGACAAGTTATGTCACCCCTTCCCCACCCGGTTCTCATTTCTATAGAGATGATGTAGATAAGAATAGAACTTGCTTCGAAGGGCTGCTGTTAAGATTAATAAGAACAGTGCGCAAGCTGTCATGTGATTCCAGATGTAGAAAGTCTTCAGTGGTTTTCCCCCACCTGCACAGCACCCCTGAGAGGAAGTGTGATTTGCCTGAAGCCTTGGGGTCACCTGGCGGCTGAGCTTCAGCTGCAGGTCTGGTCCAGGCAAGGGAGCCACAGCCAAAGAGCACCAGACATTTATGAGGGAGGTCCTGTGCTTTGTGTTGAAAAATGGGTCCAGTAAGAGCAGAAGGGGTGCTCCTGTGGAAGATAGTACCCACCCAGGAGTCACTTCATGCGGTGGAGCCCTGGTGCCAATGGAGATGGACAAGATGTTCTGAGAGCTGAGGGAGACCTGAGCTGAGCTGGAGGAGGGTGCAGACTAAAGGTGGGAGGAGGCAGGAGGCACCTCAGGGCTCCTGGACAGGCCTGCAAGAGCCATGATGGGTGGTCCTCTATCCAGACAGAGAAGCTGGCACTGGAAGAGCTCTGATCAAGAGAGGAGGGCATGGGGCAGGGTGACTGTGATTTTAGGAAGCAAAGGGGGAGGAGCAGAGAGTGTACCCAGAGCCAGTGACATGATGTGGAAGTTGCTGGCAATAGGTGATGGGGGTTAGCGGCAGCAGAGATGGAGACAGGATGAGGTTGGGAGATGGGTATGGTCCAAACTCATGCCAGTACTCTCATCCACATGCTGTGGGTGGGCTTGTAGGCGTAAGTGTTGAGAGACCAAGTTCAGGTTTCTGACTTGTGCACCTGGGGGAGGACCAGTGTCACCTGTGGCTTGTGGTGATGAAGGCTATAATGAAAGGGGAGAGCAGAGGTGAGCCAAGGAGGGGGGCCGGGGTGAGAACTCGGTACAGTGAGAACAGACACCCCACCACGTTGGCTGATCGTGTGGAAAGGGAAAAGGCAGTAGCCAAGGGAAAGGTCAAGGATGCTTGGGTTGGCTTTTCTCGCTTGTTTTGATTAGATAGGAAAGTCTTGAATTTGAAGGATGGAGCAGCACAGGGCCCTCCCAATCCAGGCATCATTCTGATTCACTCTGTGCTTGCCAGTGGTTCCCACCGTGGAAGAGATTGATTGTGTATAAACAGGAAGGAGCAATTAGTCTGTGCATGCCCGGCCATTAATAAACATCTTAAGTATTTCCAATAACACCTCTCTTACCCTCCAACCTGAAGACCAGCATCCTAAGAACAAACATGTTGAGAAAAACCTCCCGGCCTCCATGCACCCCTGACATGCCTTGCTTGGAACCCACGGACTCCTACTTCATGTCCAGTTCTGACAACAGCAATATTCACTAAGGCCCACAATGAATCAGAAACCACAATGCAGGTGACAGGAGACCCTCCCTGCAGCAGAGGGAAGCGGCAACTGCCTGTCTGAGGGATGGAGTAGAGCTGAGCCACCCAGGGTCACCTGGCTTAAGTACAAATCAATCCGACAACCTCAGTGGCCCCAAGGATACATGTCTTAGACTATTCCCCAAGCAGTGGCTCAGGCTAGCTCATCTCTGGGTCCGTTTCCATATGGAATCAAGGATTCTTTGTTCACAGGATGACTCGGAGCCACTGAAAAGGGACTAAATTACATGCAACATTTATGCTTAAAAGGGACTTTAAAATACGTATTTTTAAATTGTAAATTGATTTTAAGTTTTGGTGCCTAAAGCTTCTGTGATATCCTCTTATGTGGGAGGGAGTTTGGTGCTTGCCTGTTTATCTGTTTCATGGTTTCATGCATCTCAGTGAGAGAAAAGACGCCTGTTCTTCATAGCCTGTGGGCTTAGGCCAGACCTGGTGTTACCTCACAGGAGGGCCTGATCTACAATTGCTGAATTCATGATTTTTGTTTTGTTTTGTTTTTTCAGACAGGTTCTCAAGTAGCCCAGGCTGGCCTCAAATTCACTAAGTAGCCAAAGATGACCTTGAATTCCTGATCCCCCTGCCTCACATGCTAGGATTACAGCTGTGTGCCACCTGGCTGAATTAGTGAATTGAATCATTAGTTAACATCCCATACCAGGCAACATCCAGTCTATACATATACTGTTACATCCTATTTCACGATTTCATTTAATTTTTTAACTTGGTACTGGAAAAATTTTGAATTACATATGTGGCGTATACTGCCTTAAATGCTCCTGTCTGGTGCTCTTCGTCCTGGAGGAGGACAAAATTTAAACAAGCTCCTGTACTATGGGTGACAGCTGGTGGGGGGACATTATGTACTGGGCAGCTTCTCCTGCAGCCTTGCATTCTTCAAGGGAAGGTCACATTATATTACCTGGGAGCTGGCATTTACCCAGTGGAGGGCCAGTGCCAGACTCCTCCATGCCCACTGCAACTGTAGAAAATAGCTGGAGCAAGCAGGGTTACAAAATGGAAACTACGTGATCTCACCCTGGAAATCCAAGCTCTTGATTTCCTGACTTTTCCTATAGCCACCAGGGAGAGATTGGTATGCAAATGGAAGGGGTGCTCAGCCCCTCTATCCCCACCCAGGTGAACCAGGCCAGGTCTGAGGCCAGAGGGGTGGGGAAGACAGGAGAAGTGGCTCAGGGGCTACTCAGCTGCCTGCTCTGCAGACCAAGGTTCCACTGCGCTGGTGGGAGAGGGAGAGTGCTCAGCTCACCTCTCCTGAGGGTTCTGGAAGCAGGGAATGCAGCCAGGAAGTGCTGTCACCTGCCTGGCATGCTTGGACATGGGGGCTCAGCTTGGATGCTAGCTCATGGGTCACTTGGAGGTCTGTGGTGCACCAGGAGGACCTTGTGTGGATCCCACCGTCCCACAGTTTAGAAAGCACTGGGGAAAGGAGACAGGACCTCGAATGTCAAATCCCATGTATACCAATCCAGAGCTCTGTGACTCTTCTTGGATGGCTGGATCTCACCAACCTCCCAGTGCCCTTGTCTGTGCTATGAATAAGAGCCAATGATGCAGGGGTCCATCATGATGCCCCCCACCCATCCATGGACCTTTCAGGGCCCTAAGCTGCTTAGCCACGCAGTGCCATGTGCCCAGGGCCCTAGAGGGCATCTAGTGGTTTCTTTTCTTCCTGCCACCACCCTCTGACACCTAGGACAAGAGAAACACCTGGGAGAGGGCACACCTGGAGCTTCTCAGAGGTGGGGGACAAGTCCCACATAGCCTGGGGACAGTGATTTCTCATTTTGTTAAGGAAAATTTGGAGCACTGAGCAGATTCTGACTGAGAATGGCCTTGACTAGCTCCTAGTTCCTCACCTGCACAGCAGGACGAGCTTCATCTCCACCTGGGATGCAAATAGGTAAGGCCTCTGCACCAGCGGTTGGGACCGGGGTAGGGAATGTCCCCAGGGACTGTGCCTGCCTCTGCATAGGTTTGTTACCTGTGGAACGTTAGCTTCCGGTTTTCAAAGTCAGGAAACACCAGGTTAACAACTCAGATACACGACTGCTTTTAAAAAGGCAGGAAATCCAGCTCACGTGCCCACTGGCAGTGCTGGAGCTGCTCACTTTCCCAATACAAGGACACCTGCCTGTCTCACATGGGCATTTGAGTTCACCGCCCTCGGTCCAGTCAGATTTGCCTCTTATAACCTACCTGGTGACAACATCCATGAACAACCTGTAGCTTGGTATCTGCTTGGGTGCCTCTGGTAACAGGAGGCTCACTACATTTTTGAGGCAGTCAATCCAAACTGCTAGAAAAAGCAAAGAACACGGCCCCTCTTTTTAAAAGAAAGATGCAGAACAAAGAAATGGGCTTTAAAGTCAAACGGTCTGGGCCTCTCAATAGCATCTAACTGGGTGACCTAACTTAGGCCCAAGATGGTCTTCTTAGTTACTCCTTCCCGAAGGGCTGTGTGGGGTTTAAACTAGAGCAGATGTATGTATAAAGAAAGAAGGGGCTGGTAGAGAGTGCCATGTTTTCCTCAAGTGGCTTTAGTTATTCTGTGTGATCTCCACAGAGGGCTGTGCCAAGCAGGAGCCAGAGGCCGGGCCTCATCATCACTGGCATCCACATTTGAGGCTAGTCTCTGGGCACTGCAGGTCTGTGCTTCCTACTATTGCTCAGAGGGCTGGAAGGTGGCACGTTCTCCCCAGGGGACCCTGCACCACCCCACACCCCCAGTCTGCAGCCTTCCTAGGATGAGTCCACTCTTTCTAGGATGGGACTGGTCGTTAGGGATATCAGGAAAGTGAAGAGTGAGTGAATGAATCTCAACACCACTGCTCACCAGGCCCTGTGCCCTGAAGGATGCTGGGAGCTTACCTGAGCTCTTCACCTAACCCTCACCACAGCCCTGGACCACAGGCCCAGTGATTCCTGCTTTGCTGCTGTGGAAACTCAGCGAGGCTAAGAGACTTGCCTAAAGCCACACAGCTCGGACTTCACGGGTCTAGAACACTCAGGACCACTGATCTCTAAGGTCTTTCCAAACCAAGGTGGCCGGTGGGCCTCGGGATGGGGGCGGCGGAGAGATCTGCAACAGAAAAGTGCCTCTGAGTCTCTCTGGGCCCCTGGGGGCCGCGGTCCCTCCACTGGAAACATGCAAGCGCGGTCCCCTGCGAGGCTCTGCGTGTGCAGGAGTGGGCGTGCTGGTGGCCCGGCCCGCGTGCAGTGCGTCCTCCCTGGGCATCGGGGGCACCGGGTCGCCTACGGGCAGCGAGGTCCACGCGGGGCACAGGGCCGACGCCCCCCAGGCGCGAGCCGCCCTATGCGGGCGTGCGCACGTGCTGCTGGCCGGTGGTCGAGGTGCGGGCTCAGCGTACCGCCCGCCCGGACGCTGATTGGCTGAGCGCCGTGCCGGCCCCGCCCGGGGCGGTGGCGGGCGCGGGTGCCCGCGTG